TGATTCACATGGAAGAGGTCAGTCCATTGTGATTGGTGCCACTCCTGGGTTCTGTAAGAAAGCAGGCTGAGCAAGGCACGATGAGCAAGCCAATAAGCAGCATCCCTCCATAGTCTCTGCATCAGCTCCTGCTTCCAGGTTCCTGACCTGCTTGAGTTCCTGTCCTGACTTCCTTTGGTGATGAACTGTGATGTGGAATCATAAGCTGAATAAACCCTTTCCTCCCCAAGTTGCTTTTGGTCATGGTGTTTCGTCACAGCAATAGCAACCTTAACTAGGGCAATTATCAATGACAAGGATAATGGGAGCATCATCAATCCTGGAGTGATGTGATGAGGCTGATAGTACTCTCAGTTCTTTATACAGGAGAAGGTGGGATAGAGAAGGACAAAAGGCAAACCGAACCTGCTTCCTTTTTAGCACTTCAAGTCCTCACCTCTCCTTAACCCTAACTGGACAGCCTGTGTCACGTGATCACCCCTCAGCCACAACAGAGTTTGGGAAATATAGTTTTAGGCATCCATCTTCCCATCTGAAACAAATACTGAATAAGAAAAAAATAGGAAGGGTCATTGGGTAGGCAACTGCAGTATCTGCCACACTATTGCTATCTGAAGCAGAACACTAACCTGAAAGAGCCTGATGTTTTTAGAACCATGCTATTTTAAGTCCAACTACTTACAGAAAAATTAAGGATTCCCATGCACAAAGATAGCAAGTATGAAACCATAGCTAGCTAATTTTGACCCACCTAGATCACCTTCCTCAACTTCAGTTATCTTGTTTTTATTTTCAGTGGGTAACAGCTCTACCATTAGGACCATCAAGGGAGTGTCAGTGTCCTAGTGGAGCTGACACATGGCCAATGGCAAGTCACAGATTAAAGGCTGAGCAGGCCAGCCCCTTGTGTCACTTTAATTCAGACAGAAGGAATGTAGTAATTTTTGTCTTAAATTCCTGGACATCTCTAAACTATCATCTCCAGAAAAGGAGTTTTGTTTGTCTAAATAAAACTCTGTTTTTACAGTTGTCATCTATGCTGCAACTCTTTACCATGTTATAATAACTTAAGTGGGATATCCTGTGAGTATGCATAACCAGAGTGTTGTCATCAACTGGGATCTGCAAGAAAGATATGACCTATGCCCCTTTAAGAAAGATGAAGAAGGGCCTCCTGATAGTGGATGTCCATCATCCTCCCATCTCAGATCACCAAAATAATGGGTACTCTCTTATTTTGTTATTGATGGAGTAAAATTCCATTTCATCTTAGAGGGACCATTCTTAAATACCCTTCCCTGAACTCAGGTTTTCCACGTAATTACATTTGGAAGAGGTATAAACATAATTCAGACTTTCAGAGATAGTGAATAGCATTTTGTTATTAATTCCAATCTCCCAAATACTTTACAAATGTTGAGTCCCAGTGTCTAGGGGATAGGGTGGTTGGGGAATGATGGAGCAATGCCACAGTTTTGTGCAAGACTCAATTCAAAACATAATTGAATCCCAGTCCTCAAACTATTCCCAGCAGAGGTACTTGTGGCCTGAATTGCTCAGCCAAAGGTCCTAACTTTGCACTTCTCTTTTATTGTGTAGATACAGCCCAACTCTTGACCATCTTGCTGGAAGAGTATAGGGCTGTGATTATCTGCTGTGCTTCTGCATGGAGGGGCACTAAGCCATGGAAAGTTGAAAGAGTTTGTTTGGTTTGAAGCTAAGCCAGTAGTCACTCTACAATGGTGAATTTTCTATCGGAAGAGTTCAAGAGTCAACAGAAAAAGAAATAAATTAAATTTCGTCCTTTCCTTTTCAGACACCTAAGTAAAATGTCAATTAGCCACATATATTCATTTCAAATCTCTTCAAAACCACAAAATTTAGTAGTAAAAAGAAGTCTTCGTTGTGTATTGCGATGCTGAGAATTGAACCTAGGACCTTGAGCATGCTAGAAAAATGTTCCACCTCTGAGCTATAGTGCCACACAAAGAGTTTTGTTGTTGATCTAGTTAAGAACATATTTAGTTGATACAATAAATCTGTGACTTGAATTACAAAATTCTATAAAATGTTTGGAAAGCAAATACCAAACCCCTTATGTGATATATATGCCTAAGTGTCCAACAAGAAATTATTCAGGAGCCTTTCCACGGATGCTCAAATTGTTAGTTGGCGGCAGTCTTGTAGGTCTCTAGACCTTTATTTGGGTTCAATTTTCTCTTCAAACCAATATTGGCTCCCTCTTTTATGTTCTCTCTCTCTCTCTCTCTCTCTCTCTCTCTCTCTCTCTCTCTCTCTCTCTCCTGTCTTCTATTCCAGGGGAATGTGGTTAGGGTGCATGTGAGAGGGCAGAGAGGGTAAAAGTGAGGGAGGGAGGGGGGGAGGGAGGGAGAAGGAACTGGGATCAACATGAAAATAATAAATTAAATTAAAAAGTAAAAAAAAAAAAAGAAATTATTCAGGAGAACCAATTGTACATTCTCACGTCAACATGGAGAAACAACACCATCAGGTATGACCAACTGTACTCTCTAATACCATCAGGGAGAACCAACTGTACTCTAACACCATCAGGGAGAACCAACTGTACTCTAACACCATCAGGGAGAGCCAACTGTGCTCTCTAACACCATCAGGAAGAGCCAACTGTACTCCCCAACACCATCAGGGAGAACCAACTGTACTCTAACACCATCAGTATTGGCTGGGCATCCTGTGTTAACTGCACAGAAACAACCTCATTTGGTACCTTTTGGGAGGTTGGGACAGTGGTCTTATGTTGAAGAAAACTTTTCTATTTTCTCTCTTTACTTTCTCCTCACCTGTTTCTCTCTCTCTCTCTCTCTCTCTCTCTCTCTTTCGCTTTCTCTCTCTCTCTCCCTCTCTCTCTCTCATTTCTATCTCTCTTTCTTCCTTGTCACCCCCACCCCTGCAACTCAATCAGACAATAATGCATTTAGAATTCATTACATTGAGCAATGCCTCAGAATTCTAGTCCAACTCCCTCTACAATCTGCCAGGAAACAGAAACCATGGCAAAGAGGTAGCTGGAAAGGTTAACAGAGACACTGGCTCAGCCACATCTCTTGAGCAAAAGGGAAAGGCAAGTGAAAACATGAAAGCAACCTCTCACTTCACACTTCAGGGGTGACAGATATGCTCCAGGTTCTTCCTTGCCACTTCAAACATTGACAAAGGTGGTCTGTGTTTGTGTGTCATTTTGAGGCTCCTCTTGACCTTGGGTACTCAGAGTCAATGTGTTTTTATTCTAGACAGAACTGTTTGGCTGGGTCAACAGCACTGTAGTGGGGGCAGGGAGTGCGTGTGGAGACAATGTGCTGGAGCATAACTCCCAAACCTCAAAACATGCCCAACAATAACAACAGCATTAACCACTGACCCAAAGGCTGTGGAAATTCTATCTCCACATCTTCTTCCACCAGTAAACATAAAAATACTGTCCCTTAAGGGATGGAGGATGTCTTCACTGAGTGTTCCAGAGAGAGTATGAGGACAGGGATATCTACATTAGAAACATTTCCCCAATGACAAGTAAATTGGGACATTTTTCACTAGGCAAGAAAACCATTTGACTTGCAATTTTAAGGATAAAGGCATTAAACTTCAGAGTTTTCTTTTTTGTCACTTCCTGTCTCTTCATCTTTCTATCATGTAGTTCTTCAACTTTTGGCATTCTATACCCAGCCTTCCTGATTTTATGTTCCTATAAGTAGCTGTCAGTTCCTCCTCTAAGTGTTGTCTTATTTGCTCTATGTCATTCCTCTGGATCACTTTGAGGATCCTCCTCCTCTTGCTTAGACCTTGTCTCTGCTATTACCGCCTCAAAAAGGTGATTTCTGTCTACCTAGCTAATGTTTCCTCCATCATCACGTACTCTTTAGCAATCAGTAGTCTCTTGTCTTACTTGTCTATTTTTTGTTTGTTACACACAGATGTACATTCTAAAAGAGTACCTATCATGTACCATCTCATGCCTATCTTGTAGGTGGGATTTATTTATTGGATAGATGTAAATATATGAATGAAATGGATATATATGTGGCTAAATGGGTAGATGAATAGACAAAAATAAATGGCTGAACAGAAAGAAATAGGTAAATGTATTGATGAATGGAGATACAATGTATGAAATGGATAGATGTAGTCAATAGTTTGACTTAAATATTTATCCAATTTAATGAAATACTTTCCTTTGTGTCTTACACCAAAGAAACAAAGCTGAACATCAAGATTGTAAGTAAAGCCATGGTGGTTACCCAGTAGAGGCTGTGAGGAACAAACTATAAGTTAGTCCCAGCTTTAAATGAGTTTTCTCTTTTCCTTCAAAATACCTCTCTTAGGTTAATGTGCTTTGGTACTTAATAAATGGCTCATAACTCCAAAGAAAATGCTTAAGTAGCAAACTGAGAAACATTTCCTGATTTGACATTTACAGAAGGAGAAACATGTGCTAGGGAAATGAGTTGGGAATACTCTGCTGGCTTGGTGGTTTGAATTAGAATGGCTTATATATATAAATGCTTAGCCATCAGTTGGTAGATCCTTTTGGGAAAGACTGGGAGGTATGGTCTTGTTGGAACAGGTGTGGCCTTGGAGGAAGTAGGTTATTGGGAATAGGCTTTGAGGTGTTAAAAGTCCATGCTAGGCCTAGTGTCTCTGTCTGGTGCCTGTATTGCCAGGAAGTAAAGATCTTAGCTACTGCTACAGCACCATGCCTGTAGGCTTCTCACCATGACGATAATGAACTAACCCTCTAAAACTATAACCAAGGCCCCAATTTAAAACTTTTATTTGTATAAGAGTTGCCTTGGTCATGGTGTCTCTTCACAGCAATAGAACAATGACTAAGACACTGGGTTAACTCCAGCCACTGGAATTAAGTGTCCTTGTCCCTTGATTTAATGGACTGTTAAGGGTAGCACTTTTAACCACCTGTCTTCTAAGTATTTGTTCATTGCTTGTCTGTCTGTCTGTTTTAGAATAATCTCAACCTGGAGAGTGATTCCACATCAGAAACTGGCTTTCCTCTGTCCAAAGAAGTCCCAGGGGAGCACCAAGTCGTCCACCAACCCTTCCCCAGACAGCGATTTCCTCATGAGACTGGGCATCCTTCACTGCAAAGAGACGGCCCCAGATCCTTTCTCCTTGACCTACCAAACTTTCCAGATCTTTCCAAAGCTGATATCAATGGGCAGAATCCAAATATTCAGGTAATTCTCAGCAACTGGCAGGTAAAGGAAAAGAAAACAGTGCATCTCTTTGTTTCCTTACCTGATTCTAACAATCACTGGAGCCCCCTTGCCCTTCTCAAACCCTCTGTGATTCATGCTGAGAGGGTATTATTCCCATAAAGATAGTGTTGCAACACACCTGATGACTTTTGAGACACTGAGATATATTTTTAAAAATGTACCCTGCAGTTAACAAAATGTGGTAGCTATAGGAAAAAGCTATCATGACCTGTGAGTAGACCAAGTAACCCACAATCTATCTTCAAAGCACTCAGGAAGGTACTTCCCCTCAGTGCCTTGCTAGCTTGCCTTCAACACCAGAAATTCCTTCAGGAGAATTCCTCCTAAGGAATAAATGGCTTACAAAAAAGAAATAAATAAGAAAGAAGGTGATAACTGAACTCCCTAGAAGGGAGTTCATTTTTCATTAAATGGGATTTTTTCATTAAAATGGGATTTTAATGAAGCCGCAGAAAAAGGACACCAGCAAGGAGTTCTTGGATTAAAAAGTGATAGCATTCATCTACATTACAAGGGAAAAGTTGCTTTGGTCTGACCCCCCAAACATCCTCTTGAAGGAGAAGCCATACTCCCAGGAGGAATCACTATGTTGCTCACCAAAGCCACCTGACTGGTACACTGTAGTCATGGAGCTCAGCTCCAGGATCTCTGGCTCCCAGGAACACCCACCCACCACCAATCCATGTGTCAGGAACACACTCCTAATTGTGCCTGTTGCTTGCACCTTCTCTGCTCCCTGAATAAAATTTTTCTGGCAGCTCAGAGGGGCCCTAGGTGGCCTATCCTTCACCTCACTCCAATCTTTCTTTAAGTGTCTGTAGCCATATTTCTATGCTTTGTTTTGATTCCTGCATTTGTATAAGGACAGATTTTCATTATTTTATCATCATAGCAAATGCCTAGCTTGTGTAGTAGCTAGTTACTCAACTTGAACTCAGAGCATTCTTAATTCAGTGGTTTCCCGACACCTCCAATATTTGTGAGGTGTGTGTGTGTGTGTGAGAGAGAGAGAGAGAGAGAGAGAGAGAGAGAGATGTGTGGTGGGTGTGGGGGAATGCATGAGTGTATGTGGTATATGTGTGTGAGTGTGTGTGTATGTATATTGTGTGTATGTGTGTGTGTGTGTGCGCGCGCGCGTGTGTGTCCTTCTCTCCTCCATGGCCCTTCTGACTCACTCTCCTGACACTCTGCATGATATAATTTCAGAGCAACTTTCGTCCAACAAAGTTGTGTTGCTTTTTAACAATGAATGTCCCTGAGAACAGACCTTAATTAATGACCATCAAGCAAGGGCTGCTATATATAAAACACTACAATAGGTTATGAGACTTTAGCAAGCAGAAAGCCGTATCTTTTCAGTCTTTCCTGTTGATGACACAGGTATGGCTTACCCAGCTACCACACAGAACAGTACCAGATGGATCTTGAAGACAGAAAGGAAAAGCACTGTGTTCCCCAACAGAAGACAGAAAGAAGGAGGGCAGAACTCTGTGAGTGCTCTAGAAAGGAAAGGATTTTGGAAATCATAGTTGACAGAGTGTGCTCAGAAATCACTACCAAGTAACATTTCTGATGAGTGCTACAGTCTAATGACTTATTGGAAAAGCAAACCTTTTACTCTGGTGCCCTCCCTGGAACCGGCCACAAGGCTCTGAAAGAGCAGTGGATCTACCTGGGGGCAGGACAAAGTGACAGAGTAGGGGCAGTAGGCTCCATACCATTGCTACTATTGCTCCCTAATGTGGCTTTGTCTATAGGAATTTCTCATTGTTTATAGATTTTATGCTTCCTAGGCTCAATAGCTCTCACCTTAGACTATGGTTAACCTTAATTTCACCATGGCTAGCATTTATCCCAGAGGCAGGAAATCAGGGTGGGTCTCAATGCTGAGGCCCAGGGGATGGGAGATGTGGCTTTGAGAACTGCTAATGTAAAGCTGCAAGAGAATGTTGGATTGGGGAAAAAGGAACACTCTGGGCTTTTGAGTTTGGGGCCAAACTTCTTGTGTCCATTTTTCTTTCTTCATCAGTCTGGATATGCCCAATCTCTGTCAGGTACCTCTGGGACCTTTGAAAGTGCCACCTAAATGTTAAGGAAGGACAATAGCACAAAGGTTGTTGGGATCACAGGTTAAACCTGGGAAAAGATGAGCCCTCTCTCACCCACATGACAGATCTGTGCAAGAATTCAGTAAAGTGGCCAAGAAAACTCCTCAGATACCCTCATAATAAGCTGTGCTGTTTTTCTGAGTAGAAAGTAAAGGACCCTTTGAGACCATTCCTCCTGGAGAAGGAGCTCAGCAGTGTGGAAAGAACTAGACAGAGGCCAAGGTGAGGTAGCAGAGAATAAGGGTGGGACAAGAGAAGGCCCCGCCCACAAAGCCAAGGATCCTCAAAACATGGGCTTTTCTTGGGCAGAGCCTCTTGGAATTTTACAGAATCCTCTTCATCCACCACAAAGTGTGGTTATGGATGGAAATCATTGCCTTAGTGCCACTGAGACTCTCAACACCCTGCTTCTGTAGATCTGGAACAAGTGAAAGTCCCCACCAATGCTTTGCACTTGGTCCTGTCCTTACCCAGCACTCAAGCAAGAAGAATTTTGTCTCCAAATGGTGGTCCTGAAAGGGAAGCTTTGGAGGACATGGCAAGCGGAGGACGGACCTATTCCTGGGAAGGTTTCTTGTTTTTCCAGAGTTGCATTTTGGACACCAGAGACCACAATATCTGCCAAGAATACAGGTTTTCTATGGCTTCAAATATCATAGTTATTGGCAGAATGTATTTGAAACTAATACAGTTCCAACATAAAGATGTTGAAGCCAGACCCCAAACAACACAAGGCCTGCTGCACAATCCAGTTATTCCATTCTGCTTTCCATAGTCCCTGCCTGTTGGCCTTCCACAGTGTAGAGGAGTGACACAGAAATTTTTAATTGATCTGATGGCTTCTTTGCCCTAAAGAGAACTGAACTCCATTTCTAGACAGTCACCAAAGGGTAGTGTGAGTCCCCCCCCCACTCTTTGTGTGAGTGTGTGTGTGTGTGTGTGTGTGTGTGTGTGTGTGTATCTGTCTGTCTGTCTGTCTTCTGCCCACACATGCTCCTATGTACAGCATTAGCCTCTACCATCCCATGCACCACTACACTTGAGTAAACCAGTTCCCTGGTGGTCCTTTAGAACATAAGGGGCTTCCTTCCCAAAGGAGAGGGGGTGATGCTTTCTGGGTTGGCAGCCCTCAGCCAGGCCTCAGAGAACTCAGTGTTCTTTTGTTGAAAGCCACTGGCTTGATCCAGCCCATCCAGTCAATCACAACCCCCCCTCCCTGCTCACCAAGGGGCCTCAGCATTTCTCCCCTGGTTAGTAGCAAAAGGGGTATGTCAGGGGTAGGCTTCTGCTGCCAAAGCCTCTGACCTTCTGTGTGTCCTCCCTAGGCAAAGTGCCCCTTACTCCCACCCAGTTATCCTCGGCTGGAGCCCAGGAACCAGACAGGAGGAATCAATATGCTTGTCCCTGACCCCTCTGCCACTCCCAGCTCTGGAAATACATCCAAAGCTCCAGGACAGGATCCTGTCCGTCCTTTGAAAATGTCTGCACATCTCCAAAGTGACATTGTTGAGCTTCTGCAAAGGGTTGTGTCCTTTGGGCCCCTTGACGTTTTGGGTGAAGAACCCTTATTAAAAGCCTCGCGTCTGCTTCTGGGAAGTATTTTTATGCAGTCAGTCAGGCAGCCTCACTCTGTGGGAATTAGACTCCACATTGGCACTAGTTTCAGGCTGAGGAAATGGTGGGCTTGGGGGAGGGGAGGGGTAGTATTATTTCTGCATAGAAAGAAAAGGCCTCAGACTGCTAAGCTGCCTCTCTATGTTAGATTTTAAAACAACTTAAGAAATTAGTTTCTGCTTTAAAAAAAAAATCATTCAAGAAAGAAAGTAAATCCCCCAGGAAAACTTAGACTTGAACTTTAGTGCTCTTGGCTGAGTTTTTGTTCTTTGGTTGATGGTCAGATAATAAAGACAAAAATTCCAAAACAAACTCATTATTAGACTTGCTGCATCAATTCATCACTACGGTAGCTAGTCACAAGCAAATATATCCCTTTTCTGAATTAATCTGAGGTCAGGATCCACTTCAAACAATATAATTCTTTCTTTGCCTCCCTTGAGAGGGACTTAAACACAGTGATCCAGAGACCTTTCTTCTCTACACAGACCTATTTCCATGGCCCTAGGCCTCTGGGGTGCTACAAGATATACTCAGAGGGAGTGGTCAGGGTTTTAAATCCTTCTATCTCTGATTCTCCCTCTTGTGTCTATGGATACTTTTGAAATGGCCAGTCTGGCTGAGGAAGAGCCAAGTCCTGGATAAGAACCATGGTGCCAATGGGAACAAACCTGTACAGCTGAGATTCTCGGGCTTCTGCTATCATGGTGAACTATGGAGTCAGAGTGAGCTAGGTTTGGAGTCTAGCACCATTACCCACTCAGCCTGCTAGTCTTGGGTTCTGTAGCCCCTGGACCTTTTTTTCAATCTTTTTGTACCTCAGTTTCCTTGTCTATAAAATTGGTGTGATAATTCCACCTCCAATTACCTACATCATCTGATCTCTGAGGACTGAGAATATCCATAAGAAGAGCTTAGCACAGGTTTATGTGTATGGCAAGCTTTCTGGAACTGGTAGGTATGCGAGGTGAAGATGATGCACTTGAGGATGACAGAACAATATCTGTAAGAATAATTAGGCTGCTAAAATGGCTCCGTGAGTAAAGGCCCTTACTTCAGAAACCTGGCTACCTAATTCAATCCCCAGAACCCTCATAAATGTAAAAGGAGAGAAATGACTCCACAGAGTTGTCCACCGACCTCCACAAACAAATTATAGCAAGTATATACACCACACACACACACACACACACACACACACACACACACACACACACACATATACTGGGCTGGGTAGGGGAATAAATAACGTTTTAAAAGATTAATTGCATAAGAGTTACCTGGAAACTGTTTCTATACTTTTTTCACCATTTATCATGGGAAGTTGATTTCCCTAAGCCAAGTTTGTGCCTGAAAACTGAGTCTAAGTTTTGTAGAACAGACAATACATCTGGGCAGGCACACTGCTACAAATCTCAGTGCACTAACCGCAATTATGTAGGGAATACCACAGTTTCTCTGGAGCATCAGCAGGTCTAAGACAAGAGGATTGAATATCTTCTTGACCTATTTTGTGTTCTTTCTGCCACAGTTGTCAAGGGAGAAGGGCAGCAGAAACTTTTGCCACAGACATATTCCTGGATGTTCTGTGCTCTTGAGGGAATCCTTTTTCTGTCTGGGAAATTCTAACCTACATCCATCTGCCCAGGCCATTCAGCTCACAAAGCTCAGAGGAGCAACAAGAGAGAAAACTCCCCTAGGTTCCCTGCAGCAGCACAAAGTACATATTCACAGTGGCCATGGCTCATTAGCAGTGGGGGCTGCCTTAAGTCTTGCTACAGAAATTGTTTTGTAGAGCAGGAGTGAGTTTGGTTCTAATAGAAGTTTTAACTATTTAATAATAACAACAAAAAAGCTGAACATAGTTACCAGATTGGGGCAGAACTGGTACCTATTTTTGCATTACCCTTTGTAGCTGGAGAATTCTGTCTTGCCTTGGGCCCGGAGCTTTTGAAAAAGTTCTCTTTCTTTTGCGAGGTGTACTAAGGTACCTCAGGGATATATAATAGAGCTAGAAAGGATGTGGAGACCTAGGGTCGTTATCAGCTTGAAGTTTACTGTACACACTCCATAATTCCAGTGCATTTACATTTATTGCTCAAGAGATCTCTCCAATGGTTTCCCTGACTCTAAAATACCCGAATAGAACAAGGGAAACAGGAAACAGAAAAGTAATCCCAGCCATTTGAGAAGGCATTTGCCATGCTCATTGCATCTTTTTAATTGGATGCCTATAAAATTTCAGGTTCAAGATTAGATTTCTTCTTTTGATATCAGTATGAGGTTTCCACATTGCTGACTGTGGGGAAGGGTGGGTCCTGAGATTTGTTTGTGTTTTGTTTTGTTTTGTAATTCATTTGGGGCAGTGGCTAGAAATTAAAGAGAAGAAAGAAACCTCGAAGCTGTTGAGATTTAGTCATTGATATAGTTTTGGGAGTAAATTCCTATTTTGCTACCCATTGCCTCGACAGGCAAGGACTCTATTTTGTTTGGATCTGAGCAGCAATTTGAGAGGGAAAGAAAATCGTATTGACGGTAATAGCTTGAAACATGAAATTGTTTTTATTCCCCGCTTGGAGAAATTGCAGGGCACATTTTGTTTAAGCAATCCCTTTGACTCCAGTCTGAATACAAACGGAGTATCGAAACTGCTGGGCAAGTTGTCCTTTCTTATCTTCTACTCAGAGACTGATTTCATTACCATAATTGCCTGCTTGCCTGGCTCCCCTGGCTCTTGGCAGCCTCTCTCCTCCAAGACCCTTAATATCCTTGCAGACAATCGTTGCAGTCCAGTGGTTCTATCTGTAGGCAGAGGGGGATGGGGCTTCAAAGGAGAAAGGCTAAGTATTCAAAGACTCTGCCCTGCCCATCCTGCCATGCTAGTTTTATATATGCCATCCAGTGGTGTACTCTTTATTCACTTGTCCTTTTAAAGTTCCATATGGGTCCTAGTAGTCATTATTCCCTAGCAACTGTCCATTCCACCAAACAATGATAGAACATGGGTGCTGTATTTCTTTTCTTCTCCTAATCTTAAAACTATAGATGAATCTCATAAAACCGTCACAGTTATAAGATTACAAGTGTTGCTCACAAATTAAGGCAATGGCAGCAACATGGTCTAATGCTCCTGGTGCCCTTCTAGGTATCCTACAACAGAGGAGGTAGATATACCTGGCCTGATACATCCTCAGCATACTATGGGCTCTAAGGTCGCCCTCTGGACCATCTCTAGATCTCAAGCTCAGGATCACTACTGGCTTGGCAGCTTCTTTAAGTGTTAGACTGCATATGATGCAAACACCCCCCAAGCTGTTTATCTAAAGGATGGGCACACCCCAGTGCAATTTGGCAGGGAATAACAACAACTCTTCAGATGTCGGGTCAGGGCAAAACGGGAATACATCTGCCCAGTACATCTTGCGCTGATTACTTGGAGTGTGTGTTTCTGATTCATTTGCATGTAACTCTTCCAGAAGGTGTTGCAAGAACTATGTGATGGCCAGAGGAACCCAATGAGTCTTTTATTAGTTTTTAAACAAGATTTTTCTATGCTGATTGTCTCTCAGAGCCAAGAAGCCGTGTTCTTCCAGACCTGTGACAGATTTCAAAAATAGGCTTCGATAATCCAAAGAACAAGTTCTAACGATAGCTCAGGAACTACGTGCTTTGACCCTGCTGCTGGGGCTGAACAGTGGGAGGAGTGAAATATCATAGCTAGAAAAGCTTTGCCCTGAGAGCCTTGCACTCAGCATCTATCAAGTCCTATAACATCTAGCCCGCTCCCAGTACCTGAACCTCTTTGCTCCCTCAATCTTGTGAGGAGGGTCATACATCTATCGGTTACTTTTGGAAGGCAGGGTGGCAAAGTTGGTAAGAACAGGAGCTCTGGACTCATATTCTCCTCTGCTACTTCCTAGCCTTTGACCTTTGGCCACCCATTAACATCTATGTGCCAGTCAGTTTCCCTAATCTACAAAAGGCTGCCTCATGTAACAATCTCACAATACACAGTAGCTTGGAACAATGATCATTGGATTGCTCATCGTCCTCTAGAACAGAAATTGTGGTAGAACTAAGCCAAGGGAGCTTGCTCAGGTGTGGTATCACTGAAGGTGACCCAACTGGGACTGAAAGATCCATAATAGTGTCAGTCATGAGTCCTTAGTCTCAGTTTTCTTCCATATAGTCTTTTTCTGGCCTATCTTTATGCAGTGATCAAGGCTAGGCTTCCTTACATATCCATGAGAACACTGGAAAGAAAAGAAAGTGGATGCTCCCAGTACACTTTTATGGAAGCTTCAGTATACTTTTTTGGCATATGTATGTGTATGTGGTGTACATACCAATATATACACATGTTTCAAATATGTGTGGGTGCACTTATGTATGCAGGTACATGTATGTGCAGAAACCAGACATTAATGTTGGGTGTTTTTGTCAATCACTTTCTACCTTTTATACTGAGGCAGAGTCTGTAACTTGAACTCAGAGTTCTCCAATTCAGTTAGTCAAGCTAACCAGCTCACTTGGGGAAATGTCCTGTCTCTGGCTCCCAAGAGCTGTGATTACAAATAGGCCACCCTGCCGGGCATTCATGGTGGTGCTCAGGTTTGGAAGCCCAGTCCTCACACTTACTCAACAGACAACTTTACCCTCTGATCTATCTCCCCAGTCTTCACTGAATCATCTCCCCCAACCCAGTGAGTGTCACTTATTTCCATTCAACTGGACCAAGTAACTCATGAGGCAGCCCAGGGGACAGGAAATGAAAATAGACTCTACCTGTTGATGGGAAATATGTATGGCTTATGTGCAGGAATGTGGGTTATAAGGCACCTGACCAATAAGTTATGCTTTGTTGTGGCTGTTCTTTCAGTACATGAGGAACACAGACAGTGTTCCTTCAGTGATAGGCTTATCAACAATTTGGTTATCAGTAAACCAAGAACCCAGTCATGTCTAGCCTTTTGCTTATCTGAGGCCATACTTCTTCTAGTCATGGAGTTGGTGTGGGCCGTTCCTGAATGTCTTGCATTCTCTATCACCGTGTAACTGCAGCTTCTTTCACAAGGGATGCAGCCATGCTTTTCTTTAGCACTCTTAGACCTTCTTTCCAGCTTGATCAATTCGCCATTGATCTGACCTGTTCTGAATTCCTCAGGTCACCATAGAGGTGGTTGACGGTCCTGATTCTGAAGCAGAAAAAGATCAGCATGCAGAGAATAAACCCAGCTGGCCAGTCGCAGCTCCTGATTGGCGGGCCTGGTGGCAGAGGTCCTTGTCCTTGACCAGGACAAACAGCGGGGATCAGGACTACAAGTATGACAGTACCTCTGATGACAGCAACTTCCTCAGTGTTCCTAGGGGGTGGGACCATCCAGCCCCAGGCCACCGGACTTTTGAAACCAAAGAGCAGCCAGAATATGGTGAGTTTACTACCCAGTAATATAAAATTGGTGGGGAGAGTAAATGAAGATGATAAGGCCTCACAGTCATGAGGCCAAACAAAACCCAGTTTGCAGTATGTGGTTTTCAGTCTTCTACGAGGCATACCTCAAAAAGGATGTGTCCACAGAAGCCCTGTGGAGCCATCCACAGCCACATTTTTTTGGGAACAATTTAATTTTATTTCTAAAGATGAATAAATCATCAAATCACCTTCCCTATATTTCTTAGATGTGTACAGTTGCTTCCTGTAACCAGGAAGCACGTCATGCCTGATATTACTGGAGTGGTCCTTGAGGACCCACGTGAACAACTTATGTCACAGATTGTTAAAGCAAGCTTCCCCCCTCTACTGTAAATGTCATAACCCTAAGTTGAGACTACTAGGTTCATAAGGTAATAGGAATCTTTCAAATCAATGATTACTAAATTATTTTTATTAAAATAGTAAAAGTTCCCTTCTTACTTAAGTTAAGATGAAAGACAGGGTGGAGGGATCTCAGATCCATTCTGTCACAATGATTCTCCCTCTTTCTTCCTTCAAATGAAAATTTGATGTGTCACAAATGCCCCTGGTGTTATGTTCTTGTGGCCCTTGTGGTTTAGAGGTTTAGATGAGATGTCCCACCCCGTCCATCTCAGATATCTGAGTACTTGGTCCCCAGTTGGTAACTGCTAGAAAGAATTGGGAGTTGCGGTCTGATTGAAGGAAGTATATCACTCAGGATGACCTTGAGGTTACAAAAGCCACATCCCTCCAGGGTGTTCTTTCGGCCTCAGGTCTATGAGCTCCCCCCTGCTGCTCCTGTCCCCTGCTTCCTACTACTTCCATCTGTGTGCTCAAGGTTCCTTCATCATGGACTCTAACACTCTGGAGCAATAAGGCCCAAATAAACTTTATTAAGTTGCCTTGGTCATGGTGTCTTATCATAGCAAAAGCACCTAATACAAGAATTGTGCAGAGCATCTCAAACAGAGATCCAAGCAAGTACTTTTCTATACATGGTAGTTTTCCATTCCCTAAACTGACCACAGTTAAGTTGGGTGGGCATTGCTCATCGGTACCTTCATTAGTATTCAGTTCTTTGGAATTTTCTAACTTGTCATGGTGTAATTGTAACAGCCTATTTCACAGTCTTTTTTATTTTTTTTTTTCTTGGAGTTTTCTTTGTAATATTCATTATGGCTGTATCATCAGTACCTTAGAAAAGGGAGGCTAACTTTGGCCAGAATCAGTGTTGCCAGAAGGCAGGATAGATAACAGAGTGTGGTGGGGATATACAGACCTCAGATATAATGCTCAGATATTATGCTGAGTCTGAGCTGTGTGTAGATCCATAATTATCTTAAGTCTTATTAAAAGCCTCAGTTTCCTTATTCATATAAGGAGTATAATTCTTCCTGCCACAGACTTATCCTAGAAGCTTAATGTAGCCATGAACACGCAGGACTAGTGATGCTGGATTCCCAGTGACTACTTCCAGGCCATACCTGTCAATTCTGTGGCCCCTATGCTAGAACTGGTCCACAAAGCTCAGCTGCCCTGACACTGTAAAAGAAAGGTTTTACCACACCAGATAGCATCTATGAACACCAGCTATTGGCTCATTGTAATGGTGAGGATTGCCTTCCTTCTTTGAGCCCTTTGATGTCACTGGACTGTCAAAATGCCACAGAAATATTATCAGGAACAGTTTGTTCTTGTTGTAATTGTTGCCTTTGCAATTATTGTAGCTGAGGCAAGTTTTCTTCTCCCTCCCAGTTTAGCCAACATACAGTATCCTCACTTGTGTTTTCAACATCGTAAATTAAGCTTACCTTCTGTTACATATATCACAACTTCTCCATCGGGCATTAAAACAGAGAGGGTTTCTCCCTAGAAAGATGTGTTCCAGCCTGAAATCCCATTCTGCCTGTTGACCTCATGAAATAGGAATCCCTGGGAAGGATTTTGCTGGATACTTAACTGGATCAGTGTGTGATAGAGGCCTTAAGATAGTGCAGATTTTCCTAGAAGATTGCTCCCCCATAGAAATGATTAATCACATGGCTAATTTGTGAGCAGTTAAGAATTTGAAGGAAGCCACCTACCGGTAAAAATAAGTTATTGATGGCTGCTTATAGATAGAATATTTTAGGACAGATAGGCATATTTCTAACAGATTTTAGAACTACTCCATGCAATCTTAGCATTCTGGAGGCGTGAGCAGGAGGATCATGAACTTGAAGCCAGCCCAGATTGCATAATTAGCTCCTGTCTCAACAAACAAAGAAAAACAACCAAGAAACTACCCCCAGTCCAATTTAGCAGCTACAAACAACATAAGATGGGTTCTCTCTTAGGAGTTTGCAGGTTGACTAGAATGTTCATCTGAGCTGATATGGGCTGGCCTGCTGGACCTGAATAATCTCTAATGACCTCACTAACAATGAAGGGGCTCAGCTAGGCAATTACAAGTACTGAGTTGGCCAGAGCCTCTCTTCTCCTGGCCCTTAACTTCCTTGGGCTCTTTGCATGGTAGTAGAATAGTTCCCTCCAACTAAAAAGCAAGTCTACATGCTTAAACATCTTGCAGGTCTTTGCTTGCATCCTATTTGCCATCATCCCATTGTAAGTGGACATAGAGAAAGGATTTATGAGCATCATTTCCCACACACTCTGATGCAGCACTAGCATTTCATCATTATGCTATGTAGGTTTTGTCAAATTGACACAAGCTATAGTTGACTTTGAAAAGAGAAACTCAACTGAGGAATTGCCCCCATCAGACTACCCTGTGGGCATTCTGTGAGGGCATTTTCCGATTAATGACTGACATGGATAGGCTAATAGTGAGCAGGTGGTCCTGGATTGATTAAGAAAGCAGGCTGAAGCCACGTGGTGGTGGTACTCACCTTTGATCCCAGCACTCAGGAGGCAGAGGCAGGTGAATCTCCGTTAGTTCAAGGCCAGTCTGTTCTACAGAGTGAGTTCCAGGATATCTAAGGCTACACAGAGAAACCCTATCTTGGAGAGAGAGAGAGAGAGAGAGAGAGAGAGAGAGAGAGAGAGAGAGAGAGAGAGAGAAGAAAGGAAAGGAAGGGAAGGGAAGGGAAGGGAAAAAAGAAAGGAAAAATAAGAAAGCAGGCTGTGCAAGCCATGGGGAGCAAGCCAGTAAGCAGTGCTCCTGGCCTCTGCTTTAGCTCCTGTTTCCAGGTTCCTGCCTTGAGCCCCTGCCCTGACTTCCTTCAGTGATGGATTACAACCTGTGAGCCATAAGATGAACTACACCATCCCCTAAACTGATTTTGGTCAGTGTTTTATCACAGCAATAAAAAGAAACTAATAGTCATTTAGATCCAGAAAAGCGAAGCGAGGAGTCCAGCTTATGCTAAGTCCTCAAGTTGAGTAACATTGTCCCATATGAGTTCTTGCCCTTAATGAAATGAAAAGGAAGGGCTGCAGGAGGTTTCTGGATAGCAGAGGCCCCTTTGCTTTTTATAAAATCCAGCAGTACAACAGTTGGCCTCACTGGATTTTATCTTATGAGCTGCTATTCCCTCCGCAAGTGACATGGCTTCTATCTGCATGAGGTAATGTTTGCTTTTCAAACTTACCCTCTCTCTTCTTATGATGTGAAAATATGAGAATATTTGTTTGTGCCTCTTGTTGCTCCCTTTAACAGACCTGCCCCTATTTGTGTGTGCAAGTTAAAAATGCAGTGTGTGCATATGTAATATAATTCACTACATATAGATGGCATCACTGACAGGCATGCAATTGTTCCAGGCATGTCTGCAGAATTCTGGGAGACAGCAGTGACAATTCTAACTCATACTTTTTTTTCTCTCTGGAAGCAACTTGTCCCTCCAGCCCTGCTGGGTAGATACCCCAGAGGAGACAATAGAGAGGTTCACAGTGAAAAATGATGCCCGCTTCCCTAATGTAAAACAGAAAGAAGCTTTATATGTCTGGCTGCCTATGTGGTTGGAAAACTGTTTCTTAGAAAAAAAATCAAATTTTGAAAAAGGTATTTCGATGAAAGGAGGTAGAGATGATGCTTCTGAAGGTAGGTATGCCAGGAGTAACTTTTCATTCAGTTAGGGAAGTGGCCATTACAATGTCGTGTACACACACAGAGACTCATCCATGCACATACATGCACGCACATACATGTATGCACACTCACACACATTCTGAACAGTAGGCTGAGAGGGTTCAGCAGCCCTGTGAGATAGCCCAGAGTGCCTTCAGAGTCAGCACTGTGTAAACAGTGGCCTTGGCAGCTGGCACAGGACCCATGATTGGGTGAAAACGTGTGGAGAACAATCTTGCTGGGTCTATATAATAACAACCATCACAACCTATTATGAATGAAGGGTATCTCATCCCTTCAAGGCACATGACTGTAGCCCCATGCTTGGCACTTATAGAAGCCCCAAGGTTATTGGAAGCTGTACATAAGCCAGGAGAAGTTATTATGGGATGGTGCTACTGAAGAAAGTCATGCGTTGGAGATGTAGGGCTTGATGCTACAACCCAAGCTTTCCTTTCTGTTAATCTGATAACCCTTGACAAGCCCCCAGACACTCCCAGACTTTTGTTAATATTTACCTCTAATAAGAGAAAAAGTCAACTTTGATAATGTACCTACATCCCCAGCCCTCTCCAGCCCACCCCCTTGTGTGGTCTACTTCTTATTTTCCCATGTCATTCATAACTTCTAACACACTATATAATTTACTACTTTATATTCATTATTCATTCCAACATGATGAGAAAAACTATTCTTAATACTATATCCCACATACCTAGAATTATCCTCGACTTAGAGTGAGAGGTCAACTGATATTCATTGGCCAGATGTTGAATAATGACCTCAAAGGATATTTTTACATTTATCATTAGTATGTTGGTTATTTGCTACTGTATAAAAACAATCCTATACTTAACAACTGAAAAAAATAGCAGTCATTATTTTTCATGATTTAGTGGCTCAGGAAGTCCAGACCACTGGGCAGGTCTACTCTTGATGGCTTCAGCTACATTCAGTTTCTACACAGAAATATTGGGAGGCTCCCTTTCATTGTGAAGTGTTTTTATGTCACCCCATTCTTTTTGGTGGCGTCTTACCAATATTGAATGTGTTCATCAGCCTGGACTTCTTTCATGGTGTTTGGATTTACCAGAGTAAATTATACTGGAAGACAATGGGGACCATAAGGTCAAAGCAAGACCAGATTCTGTAGAACTCTTCTCGTCCCTTCTCCTCTTCTCTTCTTTTCTCTTCTCTGTCTCTCTTTTCCTTCCCCCTGCATTGCTCTTCATCCCCCTCACCCTGTCCCCTCCCTTTCTAGATCTCAACTTCTTTATTTCTCCTATCCCCCACCCCACAAGGAGGAAAGGTTTGTCCCAAGGGTTAGGTCCTAGTCATGTATATTTCAACACAGTGCTGCAACCCTCTCGGTCTTCACAAGGCTGAGCTCTGACATGAACCCACAGCTGTAAGCCTTTGAGCTCAGACTGGACCAATCCCTTTTGGAGTGAAAATGATGCAAGTGGAAGAGTACAGGGCCAACAGGTAACTTGAACATGAGACTTGGCAACTTTTCAAGTGGGGATGACGACCATCTCCCTGACTCCCTTCCAGATTCCACAGATGGTGAGGGTGACTGGAGTCTCTGGTCTGTCTGCAGCGTCACCTGTGGAAATGGCAACCAGAAGCGGACCCGTTCTTGTGGCTATGCATGCATTGCAACAGAATCGAGGACTTGTGACCGTCCAAACTGCCCAGGTAATTGTGAGGCTGTGGCTCTAAGTTCAAGGGGAATGTTTTTCATTCATGGTGATTGAATTTACCAGAGTAAATTAGACTGGTAGACAATGGGGACCATAAGGTCAAAGCAAGACCAGATTCTGTAGAAGCCTTCTCTTCTCTTCTATTATTATTTATTATTTAAAAGGTACTCATTGTCCTCATAAATCTTTTGACCAAAATGGGGCAACTAGAAATAGCTGATAAACTTAGTGGATAGATAGATTTCCTAAGTCTTAAGCACAATGGCAGTGGCTATGACTTAAAGGTTAGTGCCATATTGTACTTACTTAACTTGAAGGAGGGACTCTGGTCAGTTTGCGACTTTACTGGAAGATTGCCATGACCTGAAAAACTCATGTCTTATAAGGATGCCAGCATGAGTGGACTCTCATTCTCAGTAAAAACCATGAGTCAATCTTGTCAGTAATACATGAAAGTTGCCGAGGCTTCCCATGAAACAACCTGCTGCAACTTAGCATTTAATTGTGACCTTGTACTGTAGTACTGGTGCCTTAAAAATTAAATTAATTGCTAACTTGATGGGGAACCGTGTTGAGACTAAACAATAATCATGACTGCGGTTGTCAAAGTTATAGTGGTTTATCAAAATCTAGCCTATGGCCTATTTATGTAAGCCCTTCATTGTTAAAGGGATCAAACAGGAGGAACAGAGGCAATTCTGCACTATGTGTGTCCTGGTCCTTTACACAAAGTTTATCACCCCCTGGCCCATAGTTTTACTGTGTTCTCATTGCCAGGGAGACTACCAGCCTACAGTAATATCCTGGGCCCTTTCATGAAACCACACATTCCAAATGACTTCATTGAAAAATTTAAAAGACTAAAAATCTGATCCCCATACCCCAGACTTCCTTTTTCTCCTCTTAGACATTCTCTTTTCAAACCAGGGATATTTGGACCAAAACAAGAACAAGAGCGGAAGCAGAAGGATTTCCAGAGGCAGGGTGGGGGGAGAGCTGGAGTGAGGTGTTTGCTGGCAAAGGGTATGCGGAGAAAATGAAGTTGAAATGTAAGAAGTGGTGGCCCTAGCTCCATGCTATCCCTTTGCAGACATTCTAGCTGCTCTAATCTTCCCTGTGCCCCATGCAATGAGCTGAGCTGTGGTGGGTTTGGGATGGGTAGGAAAAAAGTATTAAATAATCCCATGAGTGAAGAAGGTGACAATCGGGAAGGACATGAGGAAAACAAGAGGACTGTGAAGAACAAACGATATTGAGGTGGAGGACAGGAAGAGTGTCTAGGGGTGAGAAAGGGAGTGTTTGTCTAGCGATGTGTGAGGTCCTGGATTAGATTCCCTGGCACCAAGCAAAAGAGAGGAAGGTAAAGAGTTGAAGAAAAATGCTAATAAAGAGTATGGGACTGTTCTGAGTAATTCAATGTCAATGAAACTTCCATGACTTTTAGGTGTGTTATTTCATTTGGTTCTCAAAACAATGCCCCCTGGAGCAGCACTTTATCATTGTAGTTATTTGGCATTTGTGGCAACTGAAGCCCTAAACCAGCAACAAATAGAAATAATGGAATTGGAATCCATGCTGTCTGACTCCATACTCTTCCACCTTCGCCATGAAGGAAGGCCTCTGGCTCAGCCACACATGGACACAGACAGAGCAAGCACACAGAGCCAAGGCAGTAAATTTGGATTTCTTGTCAGGAGAAGGTTCTCCCCTGCTGCCATTTCGCATGTTTCCTTTTAGGGTACCAGGACCACTAAGAACACTGCAGCTAGAAAGCCTGTGCATGCATTTTCTTCTCATCCGCCCTTGTCCACTTCAGTCTTCCCAGCCTTCCTGCTTTAGGAGGTTCCAGCTTCAAGGGTTCCTTTGGATATAAATGATTACTTTCAGCAGGGTCTCCTTTCTTATTTGGTGTGTCGAGTCCTCTGCTTTGCTGGAAGTATGGAATAGACAAGGTCTTGTAGACTTGGTAATGACTATCCTATGAAAGTATGACCCCTTGGGGGCTGGAGAGATGGCTTGGTGGCTAAAAGCACCTGATGCACTTTCAGTTCCCAGTACCTATGTCAGGCAGTTCGGAACCACCTGAGACCCCAGGTCCCAGCAATCTGATACCCTCTTCTGGCCTTCTCAGACACCTGAACACACATAGCATATACACACTCACATACACAAATAAAAATAAATATTTCTTACAATCATGTCCCAAGGCCAGCCCTTGCTTGAGGGACCTAACAAAATCAGAGCCATCTCTTAAAGGAATATAGTCCAGCTCATTAGTGAAGCTAGGGTCACCCCACCATCCCCACCATCCCCCACTACCCCTGCCCCCCCCAAAAAGCTGCTAGCCTCTACTCTTTCCTCTTTCTCATGATTTAGCTTGCTGAGTCTGCATTGGGTGTGGTCATTTTGAGGGAAGGTTTAAGGGAGCTCAAAGGGTTGAGGCAGACAGGATTCAGTTCCTTATAGTAAGTAACAGTTTCTCTTTGCCCCCTTTCTGGAGCATCAATACGATTAGCACTAGACAACCAATGAAGCTGGAAACATGAGCTTCTACTTCCCCTTCTGGGAGGTGCTCTCCCGATACTCACTCATAACTCAATTGACTCTGCCGAGGAGAGGTGCCCCTTAATTCTTCTGAATTCAGAAAAATGAAAATTGAGGCACACAAAGATGAAGTGTCCTGCCCAGCTCCACACAACTAGTAGTGATTTAAACCCAGGCAGTCAGCCATTGAAAAGAAGGTCCTGAGCACTCCACTGCCTCTGGTTTAGTTTGTCATTCACCAGACAGCCACCCTGACAAGTGCCCCCCCCACCACCACCCACCTCTCATCTCCAAGGCAAATAGGTAAGTCTGTGGGACTCATTGCAGGCACATTTGGATCTGATTTTGTGCTGTGAATAGTATCTGGAGTTTTAATATGTTTTATGCACTGCTACCTGCTTTTACTGTTTCCTCTGTTGGCAAGTTTCTACCCATGAGTAGTAATGAATACAAAAAGGCTTTGTTCAGGTATATTTGTTATGTATTTGAGGGGGTGGCGGTGAATTTTTCCATAAATCTGAGGGAAAAATGAGCTCTTGTCTGTGTTTAGGAATTGAAGACACTTTCAGGACAGCAGCCACGGAAGTGAGTCTGCTTGCGGGAAGTGAGGAGTTTAATGCCACCAAGTTGTTTGAAGTTGGTAAGAGTTTTTCCCTTTTCTAAAATCCAAATATTGGTTCAGTGCTTTGGAGATTCATTTTGCCTTTGCAGTGTCATCCTTGGACCCATGAAAATGTTTCCTTTTCCCCTTTGAGGGTCCAGTGCTCCCAACAGATTTTCTGCTCACTGACTAGACTCCAGGCATGAAAGAGAAACCTCACCCCTCCAATACCAGACTAGGCTGAGCCATAGGGAACCTCTGTGAGCAAACTGCAAAGCCTCTTAAGTTAGGCAAGTTGAGCTGACCCTGCTCCTAGTACAAAATAAGCCTATCACCCTCACTCAGCATCCAGTAAAACAAAATCTCCAGCAGAGGAGAGGAGAGGGGAGGACGTTTTCTCAATATTATGTACTTCCCTCCTTTCCAAGAATTTTCCATTGTGGGTCAGGGAGGACTTCAGTACTTTTTTTTTTTTTTTTTTTTTTTTTCTGTGCTTCTCACATCTCTAGTAGAAAGCACTAGCTCAGAAGCAACAACCTAAATGAACACAGCAGAAAGCACACACTCAGGTACGAGCTTGCTTTTCAGCACAGCTTCATTTGCTTCTGGATACCATTCCACATTGTAAGAGAGTCAGATTCCTTCCATCCCATTTCTTTTATCCTCGAAAATTCTTCTGTGAACTCAAGTCTGCGGTATCTTCTCAGACAAAATTGAGCAGGCCTAAAATCTCTTTTATTTTTCCTAGCCCAACTATTTTGAGATTTAATCTTCTCTTTCTCGGAGAACTACAGGAGACAGTGGACAATCTAAGTACGATAGTCTAGAAAATAGAGAAATACTGAAAAGAACAGTGTCAGAACTCTTATGAAAAGACATAATAAAGAGCTAGAGCGTCGTCATCAGAGGGAAGTAATGGACAGCGCAATGACAGTCCTGCCTCATCCCACCATCACCACCTCAGCTGGGGAGGCATTGATAGCAGAAAGCTGCAGGGAGAAGGATGGTCCCTTTTCTTTAAGAGTGTTGCCTCTAGCAAGTTGAAGACCACATAGTCAAGAATATTTGGATGGCACAAATTGGTCTTAATGGGAAAAAGAGGGGATTTGACAATTAGGAGGGGAGGGGGATGAGTAGGAGCAGTGAATATGATCTAAACATATTGTACAAAATTATCAAAGAACTAATAATTTTTTTCCTAAAAGATAGGGGCAGCCATGCCTAAACCACTCTGAGGTGAATATCAAGCTATTTCCTCTGTGTTTTATAAAAGAGATCCCTTCCAACCTGCTTCTTTTGTCCATGAAAATTCTCTCATAAACTCAAGTCTGTGGTATCTCCTCAGACTGAAAATCAGGTGGGCTGATTTGCCAAGGCAGATCCCAGATCTGGTTTAGCTAAAATATACCTTAATTTTTACAATTCTTGTTCATAGTTTATTTTTACAACAAGTCCATTTAAACATTGTCTGTAAGGCAAACTCAGGACAGTTTAGAAATTCTGTGATAACAGGGCCTCATCCCTTGCCTCGCATACACAGTGGGTTATCTTTAACAAGAGCTGCCTACAAACACTGGGTTTATTTTCTCAACTAACTTTAAAGGAGTTTTACATAAAATAGAAGAACAGAAGACGTGGTCTTTGATGGGCAGAGAACTTCTCACGTCCCCTCATCTCTCCTTTCATAGGCAAGCACCTTTTACCTTTTTGTACACGGTGAGGCACAAGGCCACATCCAATGCATGGCTAAGGATACCAGAACTAAGAGCTATTTCAGCCAGAGTCCAGGCAAAAAATGAATTGAGTACATTGAGTGTAGGCAATTGGTGAATATTTGGTGAAGGACCATTTATTTGTAAAGCCTTGAACAGAGTACATATGAAGCAATAGGAGAACCCCAAGACTGGAAACCATGGAGAACCCTTACCATTCTTGACCCAACGGGATCAGGGTGGGAGCAGTAAGCACAGCTCATAGAGTCACCTGACTACAGTCCCAGCTCTCCAAAGGATGCAGACAATGTGCACTGAGAGAGAAACCAGTCAGGGAATTGTCCTAACTATTCTCTTCCCACCTGATGGGTCTTCCCACAGGGCAATCCAGATAGAAATCAGGCATGAAGAGCCTATTGATATGGTCTACATGGATCAGCACAAGATCATCATGGGATGGAGACATAGAAGGGCAAACAGTAAATGAGAAAAGCAGGGACTGAAAACATGATCAAGTTACTTAAGCTACCACTACCTTGAGTTTTCTTGTCTATAAAATAGCATGAGATATTACATCTTGCAAAATGACTGCAGAATCCAGTATGTTACTATCTGACAAATTCAAGCACTCCCATAACACTGTATAAGTACATTTTTTTAAAAAAATTAAAAAACAGTCAAAAAATGTCCTGTAAGTGCAGGAATTACAGTAGTCCCCCACCTTGGAAAATATAATATCATTTTCTGGGTACTCCTGAACTTCGTTTCTGAAAGTCCTGTCCTTCCAAGGAAAGCCTGTGACTTCACAGGTATTACCCAAGATAGAACTGTCCCACTCTGAGTGACTGTGCAGACATGAGGACATAGCCACAAAATCTTAGGACTCAGAGACGAAAGGAGCCACTGTGTATGCCAGATGGCCCTACCCAGAACAGTGAACTGTTCACTTCACATCCCCTGACTCTGAGTCTCCATCCCAAGCTCATCAGAGAAGTCCTATGTTCATGCCAACTTGACAATTAGAAAATTGAAGCTCAGTAAGTTGAAATGACTTGTCTATGATCACAAAGCTTCTAAGAAGTTGGGTTTTAATCCCATCCAGGTTAAATATGATAACCTAATCTCACACCAGATCTCTGTGGACTCATGAAAAATCTCCCATCTCTCCCTTCCCCATTTAACTGATGAGAGATGCACATTCCCCAGCCGACTCTATGTCCTGACCATGTGATCCCACTCATAACTGGACCAGCCTCCCCGGCATTTGACTCAAAACTAGAGTCATTTCTTCTGCCTTACTCTCTTTACCCCTAGACTTCAAAGCCTCTGAAGTCTAACAACTGACTCCTCTTGATCCAACCTGCTGTTACCACCAAGCATATTTTCCTGTGCTTTTACCAAATTTAGCACTGGGTCAGTTTTCTTGCTGCACAGCTCAGTTGATACATATTTCACTGTACTCAGTGACTCCCTCTGAACAAGCCTAAACTGAGTAAGAGCTCCATTGCCTGGTGCCTTGTTCTCTTGTACCTTCTACTCCAGAGATGAAGTGTCCTCTGCCCCATTCATCCTAATTTTGTGTTTTCTCTCTCTCTCCCTCTCTCTCCCCTCCCCGTGTGTGTGTGTGTGTGTGTGTGTGTGTGTGTGTGTGTGTGTGTGTGGGTGGGTGGGTGTGGGTGTGGGTGTGGGTGTGGGTGTGGGTGGGTGGGTGGGTATGTGTGTTTGCCCATGTGTGTACATGAGGAAGCCAGAAGTCAGTATCAGATGATCTCCATCTTAACTTTTTGAGACTCATCTTAACTTTTTGAGACTAGGTCTCTCACAGAATCAGGAGCTCATTATTTCAACTAGCCTGAGATTCTCCATGACCTACCTGTCTCTACTATACAACCCAGTGTTGAGATTACAAACATGCTGTTTCACCCAGCCTTTTCATTGGTGCTGGGGACCTGAATTTGAGTCATCATACTTAGTAGCAAGTGCATTAAGCCATTAGTCTAATCCCCCATCAGATGTGTTTATTGCTGGTTTAGCTTTTACAATTAATGCTTAGCGGAAGACCCTCCCCTGCCTCCTCCTACCTCTGCTGCTGAAGCTTGTATCAATTTGGGTTCTACAAGAAGCACATACTAGATAGGAGAGAACATACAAGGTAACGGTATGACGCTGAAGGAAGACAAAAGGAGAATCAGGAAGGAAGAAAATCAAAAAACTCAAAGCCCTGTCCAACAGGGAATGTCAGGCTGAGGGGACCCGGAGGGGAGCCAGACAGCAGGGCTTCCTCCATGCTTTGTCATCTTGACCTCCAAGACCTTGGTGATAGGAGATGGTCAGCAAGTACACAACAGCAAGCTCTCTTCTGGGAGCTCTGAAGACGTCTGGCCACCACCAATCCTACCATGGCTCATGATCAGCATGATGTCACAAATACCCAAAACTATTCCTGACTTACCCTACTAGAAATAACATGTCATTTCAGTTTTGTAATGTTTTGGTTTTGTTTGCTTGTTTTGCTTTGCTTTTTTTTTTTTTTTTTTTTTTTTTTTTTTTTTTTTTGACAAGAAAGCCAAGTATTGTAGTACATAACTGTAATCCCAGCATTCAGAGGCCGAAGTGAGTTCCAGGCCAGCCTAGGACACACAATGAGACCGTCTCCAAAACAACAACAAACATAAGAATGTCTAGGTTTAGGAAAACAGGGCTTTCTGTCATGGAGAAGTAAATGAATCCAGAAAGAACCAGTGGTGTGTCCATGAAGCAGCTTCCTGTCAATGGGAAAAGTACTTGAAAGAGGAAACAACTTAAAAGAAGAATGGTTTATTTTGGCCTCTAGTTCCAGTACATGGCATTTGGCCTATTGCCTTTGGGCCTGTGGCAAAGCAGAACATCATGGTGAGGGAACAGGTGATGGCAGAGGCTGTTAACCTCATGGCAACCGGGAGGGAAAAGAGACAATGAAAGGGACTGTCATTCCAGGTCGCCTTTCAATGGCACACACTATAAGTTCCATTACCTGCCTGTAGTGCCACAGGCTGGGGACCAAGCCACCAATATGTGGGCTATTGATGGACAGTTAAGATCCAAAGTATAACAGTGGGGACTAGGATGAAACTGTGGGAGGTGGAACAGAAGATAAAGGGTGTTCTACCCTGGGGCCGGCCAACCTGCTTTCAGAAGGGACCCCAATGGAGAAGCTGTGTGCCAGCTCAGGAGAGTGAAGGGCCAATGTCCAGGGGCTTGAAAAAAAGGAGGGAGACTGAGTAACATTTGGCTGAGATGCATTCTGTTCTGATCAGTCTGTGTGGGCAAGTAGTTCAACTACGCGTGGACAAAGAAAAGAAGGTCTGTAACTGAACTCACAGCCCATAAGTGGAGGTGGAGCATTCATGAGTCCAATGTGAACAGGGCTTCTTTTGCAGTAAGGTAAAGATGGGATGAGGACATAGATTCTTAATATTGCTGTTCTTGGGAGGCTGGAGAGATGGCTCAGAGGTTAAGAGCACTGGCTGCTCTTCCAGGAGTCCTGAGCTCTATTCCCAGCAATGTACATGATGGCTCACAACCATCTATAATGAAATCTGGTTCCCTCTTCTGCTGTGCAGGTATACGTTCAGGTAGAACACTGTACACTTAATAAATAAATAAATATTTTAATATATATGACTGTTTTCCGGGACAAAGTTCTTTGAATCATGGGCATTGGGCCTATTTATATGCCTAGGCTTCATTTACTTGTTATTTTAAGATAAGGTCTCACCAAGTTGCCCAGGCTGACCCTGAAGCCCTTCTGTATATCAGGCTAGCCTTGGACTTGTTCTCTATACAAGATTTACCTTAAACATATTCTGTAGGCAAAGAAGGCCTTGAACTTGTGATTCTCCTGCCTCAGTCTCTAGATCAGCTGGGATTACAGATGTATATACTCAAGCTTGATCTGGGATAAAGTCTTTAAATAAAGTATGACATTGTCATTGAATGGGAATCCTAAGGAGGTTTTTCTGAGTTCCTGGGTTACAGTGAGACTCTATATATCTGTTTGATCCCTACCTTATATCAAGTCCCCTTCCTTTTGGCTATCATTTTCCCAGTGTCTGCTTCCACTGGCATCTTGACCTCAGAGTCTGACAGACATACACTGAATCAAATGCTCTTGACCCAAACAGCTGAAGGACCATGAGATCCTCTGAGTGTGATCAGGCAAGAGCCAGGCTGACCTGGGAACATCCTGTCCCGTCCAAGTAGAGTGTCGCTGTTCCCAGGGGGCAATGAAAGAACAGCATATATTCAAATCTCAGTTCTTAAAGAAAGCCAGGATTCACAATTAGCTTGGAATCTATAAATTATTTTTTATTTTAAAACAAACTTTAAATTAAAATATATTCTGATCATATTCTTCCCTTCCCCCAAGTCCTTCTAGATCATCTCCCCCTTCCTATCCACACAACCTTCTTTCTCAAAAAACAAAAACCTAATATAACAAACCTCCCAAAGCCAAGAAAACAAAATAAAACCATACCCAAAAGAGAAAAAAAAGCCGCTATAACCAAATAAAATAGTTGACCAACATATAAGTGGAATCCATAAATTCTTAAGTATTTGCAACTAACTCAACCTTTTCTTACTGCTTTGAAAACAAAACATATCACCTTTGGTTTCTGAGTTACACACTCACCCCTTTGGGGCATCTTAGCCTATGAATTTGCATACAGTTGGGAGTTGAATTATGTTATGTTTTAAACCATTCAGTGAGAGGCAGAAATAAAATTGTCCTTTGAGGTCTTTCCACCACATTACCACTCATTTAAGAAATTCAATACAGCTCTCTGAATTAGCTAATTGTGTTAGGATGTATAATTAGGCTATGGTTATCTGTGATGATATTCTGTTTTTTGTTTGTTTGTGTTATATTTCAGAGTTTTATTGGGGTTTTGTTGAGATCTGGTTTGATTTGGACATTTTTTGGAGATTCTTTAAATTTAGGGATAATAACACATTTTAAAATAAAATTTTAAAAGGTGGATCAAATGCAGTAATAGTTAAATACGAGTGAGGGGATTTTAGTAGTCATTCAGTCAGTGACTTAGTCTTTGCTGTCCTTTGTTTGGAAATCCCTCATACTATAAAGTAAGGAGTTGGAAAGATGTCTTTCAAACAAACCTGCCGAGTTCAGGGATGACGAGAATGACCACCATGTGTGGTGGTAATGGGTACCTGCCCGGCGTCTGATGCTAACGGAGGACACTGTTGACTGCAATGTCATCTTCCCAGCAAGCTTAGCATGTGCTTAGAGTTTTCCTGTTCTTTTTCAGACATGGATAGCTGTGAGCGATGGATGAGCTGCAAGAGTGAGTTCTTAAAGAAATACATGCACAAGGTAATCAATGACCTGCCCAGCTGTCCCTGTTCCTACCCCACCGAGGTGGCTTACAGCACAGCTGACATCTTTGACCGCATCAAGCGCAAGGATTTCCGATGGAAGGATGCCAGTGGGCCCAAGGAGAAACTGGAGATCTACAAGCCTACTGCCCGGTACTGCATCCGCTCTATGCTGTCCCTGGAGAGTACCACACTGGCTGCTCAGCACTGTTGCTATGGTGACAACATGCAGCTCATCACCAGGGGCAAAGGGGCAGGCACACCCAATCTCATCAGCACTGAGTTCTCTGCTGAGCTCCACTACAAAGTGGACGTTCTACCCTGGATAATCTGCAAGGGCGACTGGAGCAGGTATAATGAGGCCCGGCCTCCCAATAACGGACAGAAGTGCACAGAGAGCCCTTCTGATGAGGACTACATTAAACAGTTCCAAGAAGCCAGGGAGTACTAACGCGCCACTGGTTTGGAGGCACAAATGCACTGATCTGCCAACTGTCACCCAGTTTTGTTTTTTTTTTTTTTAATCCACATTTTTGTATATTTGTATATTCCACATGAATATTTTTCTAAGTAAACTAGGGGTATGCACCAGGTCTGGGGGACCGCTATGTCCATTGCCTACAAACTGTGTTGGAAGTCATTCTAGTGGCTGTGTAGGCAAGAAGAGGAACCTGGTAGCCATAGTGGGTGTGATTCCATTCCCGCCTCCATCCAGTGCACAAGAGCATAGAGACTGAGGTTGTAAACATTATAAGCAGTTTTTATATATAACTTATTTAATACAAATGTGACTTAAGCTTAACCTTTTCTCTGGAGTTGTCCTTGTAAAAATTATTTAATCGCTTCTGAGAGAGCTCAAAAAGGAAAGGACTTAGGGGAGTGGAGAGAAAAGGAATATTGTGGTGGGGATGCATAAAAATGAAAAAAGAGCCACCTTACACCGGGTGCTCTTTAGTCACAGGGCATTTGCTGGAGTCACAGATTCAAACCTTTCCTTGTCTTAGACTAGGGAAGGGGTAGATAGTAAGTGAATGCTTAGAGTTAAGTCAAAGACACAGTTCTAAATGGCTTTAAACAAAATGAGCAGTGTGATTCTACTATAGAGCCCCAGCAGCAGCATTTCTGCTGTGTCTCAACGAGCTCAGAAGATGCAAGAAACTCAGGCTTTGTAAAGCCCGAAGTGGCACTTTCCAAAAGAACAAAGCAAAATAAATAGGAAAATAATATGGGCCCCATTTTGTCTATTTTATTTTAATATAACAACTTTTCTCCGCCAGTATATTCCCAGTAAATAAATATAAAAGGGGGTGGGTGGTAGGAGCTGAAGTCTGGGAAATCCTATTTTTTTATGTTTTAAGAAAAAAAAAACCTGCATTATTTTTGTAAAGTATTTATTGAGTCATTGGATATTGTGCATCGTGCAGTTGTAGGACGGTCCTGTTCTATGGGGTAGAACTGGAGGACAGATGAAAAGTTGGCTCTTATGCAATCTTTCTTGCAAAACTCCAGGAAAAGAAATATATAATAAAATCATAATAAAATGTGTTACCTGCATCCTTGATTTATGATACAAATATTGTAACTACTCCAAGGGAAGCAAGGCTTTCATGGGGAGAAAACTTCAACCCAGGTGAAAATAAAAGACTTGCAAATGGACTTATGGTGGCTAGCGTAAGTCATAGCATCATTGGTATCAAGTGCGTCTCCCTAACTACCAATTAGCTCAAGATAATTGGCACACATATGATTTTTTTTTCTCACCAAGAACTAAGAAAACCAAGCTAGAGCAAAGACTTAAAATGGGGAAGGCTACTCCAGACATACAAAAACACAAGTAATATGCAGGACAATGTAAATTATTCTTTTGCCAGATGAGAGAAGCCAAAGGTCACAAAGCATAAACCATATACCTTGTATCCCTGGTGACTTTGATATTCTTAACCACACACCCAAGTTCTCTGGTAAGAGTGTGCTCTTACAAAAAAAGCTTTTGCTAGTTTCTACCAGATTGGCTGACCCAAGAAAAAGGGTCTGCACAAAAGCACTCCCATAGTTCTTTATATTTTTTTTCTGTGTAAATGATCCCCAATAAACAATCATTTGTCACTTATCTTGGGTCTAGTGAAATCATGACATCCATGACTTCAAGGTTGTTTCCATTCCTGGTGTGTTAGTTAGGGCTTCTATTGCTTTGAAGAGATGTGATCACCACAACTTTTATAAAGGAAAACATTTAATTGGGATGACTTACAGTTTTGGAGGTTTAATCAGTTATCATCATAGCAAGACATGGCAGTATGTAGGCAGACATGGTGCTGGGGAAGGAGCTGAGACTTCTACATCTTGATCCATAGACCACAGAAGGAGATTGTGGCACTGGGCACAGCTTGTGCATAGGAGACCTCAAACCCAACCCCCACTGTGACACACTTCCTCCAACAAGGCCAGGCCTACTCCAACAAAGCCACACCTCCTAATACTGTCACTGCCTATAGGAGAGCAGCACTGAACATGGCCATATGTAGAGTAGGGTGTCCAGTCCTTTGAGTATATGCTAAGAAATGGTATAACTGGGACATAAGGTAGATTCAAAAAGCTTTATGAGAATTTGCCACACTGGTCTCCGTATTGGCTGGACCAGTTTGAAATCTACCATCAGTGAATGGGGTTCTCCTTTTCCTAAGTCCCTTATAGGATTTGCTGAAGGTTGTTTTGTTGATCTTTGATATATATATATATATATATATATATATATATATATGCAGCTGGAAAAGATTTTTCTCCCATTCTTTAGACTTCTTCATCTTCAGCTGATTTTTTTTTTTTTAGCTGTGAAGATTTTTAATTTTGTGAAGTCCCATTTGTCAATTTTTGAACTAAATTCTTGGGCAAATGGAGTCCTACTCAGACTCAGTTCTTTCCTACACCTGTAATATGTATGTACTGGCTGTGTTTTCTTCTAACACTTCCAATGTTTCACATTTAGATCTTTGATCCATTTGGAATTGGTTTTGTGCATGATAAATATGAGTGTAATTTTGCTCTTCTGCATGTAGATATCCTGTTTTCCTAGCACTATTTGCTGAAGATGCTTTCTTTTCTCCAGTGTATGTTTCTGGCATATTTGTCAAATATTAAATGGCTGAATCTCTACTAAATATAGAAACTCACAGAGAATAAGCAACTTATTACTGAATAATGGATGAGTCAAAGAAGGAATCTGGAAAGGAATAAAAATTTTCCTGGAACTAAATGAAAATATGATAAACCCTCTGGGACAAAATTGAAAGCTATCCTAAGACATGATGACAAATGGAATCAAATCTAAGACCCAGATATAATTCACACACCCATGGACACTTGAATTTTGACAAAGAAGCCAAAACTATACAATGGAGAAAAGAAAGCACCTTCACCAAATGGTGCTAGCAGAACTGGATGGTGGCATATAGAAGAATGTAAATAGATACATATCTATCACCCTTCAGAAAACTCAGCTCAAAAACTTCAATATAAATCCAGTTACACTGAGCCTAATAAAAGAGAAAGTGGGTACTGGCCTGGCACAGAAGACAACTTCTTAAATAAAACACTAATAGCACAGACACTAAGATCAACTATTAATACATGGAACCTAAAAAACTTAGAAGCTTCTGTAAGTCAAAAGACACTGTCAATAGGACAAAATGGCAACTTACAGAATGGGAAAAGATTTTCACCAGCCCCACATACAACACAGGGCTGATCTCTAAAATAAAAAAAAAAAAAAAAACTCAAGACACTAATCATAAAAAACCAACTGATCCAACTTTTAAAAATGGGGTACTGACCTAAACAGAAAATTCTCAACAGAAGAATCTAAAATGGCAGAGAAACACTTAAAGAACAGTTCAGCATCCTTAGCCATCAGAAAATGCAATGACTCTGAAACTCCATCTTATACCAGTCAGAATGTATAATATCAAAAAGCACAAGTTACAGTGCATACTGGTAAGGGTGCAGAGCAAGAGGAACACTCCTCCATTGCTACTGGGAATGAAAATGTATACAGACACATTGGAAAGCATATGGCAGTTTCTCAGAAAATTGGAACTCAATATACCTTAAGACCCAGCTATACCACTCCAGGGTATATACTCAAAGGATGTACAATCATACCACAAGGACATTTGCTCAACTATGTTTATAGCAGCTTTATTTGTAACAGCCAGAACCTGGAAACAACCTAGACACCCCTCAACTGAAGAATGGATAAAGAAAATGTTGTATATTTACAGAATGGAACCTTTTCCTCATGATATATTACCATGCCCAGCCTGAATACAGGGGTAGGTGCTTGGTCTTATGACAACTTTATATGTTATGCTTTACTGATGCCCATGGGAGACCTGTCTCTTTCTCAGCAAATACAGTTGACGGGGTCAAAGGGGAGGTTGGGGGAATTGGAAGGAAAGGAAGAGGGGAGGCTGCAGTTGGGATATAGAAAAAAATAAATTAATAAAAAATTTCAGAAAAAAATAAGAAGGCTCTCCTATAAGAAAAATGTATACTTTTAACTTCTTGTTTTAAAAAAAAATCATGAACAGGACAAATAAATGATGTATTATACAACTCAAATATATGGAAAAATAATAAACCAAATCCAAATCCAGTCAACAGCACGAGATTAATAAAAATCAGAACAGAAATCAATGAAATAGAAACAAAGAAAACACAAATAATCAATGAATCTAAGAGCCAGTTATTTGAGAAGATAAATAAAGTGGACAGATCTTTGGCCTAAATAATCAAAAGAAAGAAAGGGACCCAAATTAAAAGATCAGAAATGTACAGAGAAACAATGCAACAGACAAGTAAGAAATTTGAATGTTATAAGAGAATATTTTTAAAAACTTGCACTACTTTAGGTTGGAAAACATAAAAGAATTGGATGAATGTCTAAATTCCAACAAACCACCAAAATTAAACCAAGGAGAAGCCAACAACCTAAACAGACCTGTAACAAATGAGGAGATTGAAATAGTAATAAAAAGCCTTCCAACTAGAAAGTATCCAGGGCCAAATGGAGTCACAGCAGAATCTACTTAACTTTCAAAGAATATCTACAGCCAGTTCCTCTTACACTATTCAAAATAATAGAAACAGAAGGAGGACTCCTAAATTCTTTCAATGAAGCCAGGATCACTCTTATACCAAAACCAGGTAAAGACACACACACACACACACACACACACACACACACACACCACACACCACACCACCACCACCACCACCACCACCACCACCAAAAACTAAATCTACAGGACAACAACCTTGATGAGCATAGATTTTAAAATGCAGGGATAGTTCATCATACATAAGGCAATAAATATAATAAACCACATGAATGGACTTAAAGACAAAATCACATGATCATCTCAGTAGATGCAGCAAAGCCTTTCACAGAATCTGCCATGTCTTCCTGATAAAACTCCTAGAGAATGTAGGGCTAAAGCCTCAACATAATAAAAGCTGTATCTGAGAAGTCTAAAGCCAATATCATCCAAAGGAGAAAAACTTGAAGCAATCCCACTGAAGTCAGGAACAATACAAGGGTGCTCCCTATCCCAACCCCTTTCCAATATTATACTGGAAGTACTAGCAGGAGCAATAAGGCAAGAGAAAGGAATTAAAGGAGTGGGATTTTAATTTTTTTAAAAAGTCAAGGGTGGCAAGTACTGTGTTGGCAGTACAAAAGAGAGCTTGGCAAGAAATTCATGTTTTCTAAAGTTTCAGGCATGTAATGATGAGAGAGAGATGATATGTCCTAGAGTCACAGCCAAAGTATTTTTCTTAAGGATTTACCATGGAATTGAAAAGAGAATTCTTTCACGGTTCAATGAGAATAACTGAGAACAGTACATTTTCTCCCATGAGCCATTTGCCTTTCAATGCCAGGTCTTGCTGACCTCATGAACTACGAGCAGGAAAGGCTATGTAGGCTCTTAATATATTAAGACTGCTATCTCCTTTATACCACTGAGATCGTCCCATACCTCTGGAAATTTACCAAACTATTTACTTAACAATAATCTGTTGCACACTGTCAAATAGTGCTAATTTTTGGGCCCAAAACCCAGAGGACCAACAAGAAATTCTCAGTTCTTTTGATAGACACCATGACCCTCCACCTAAACTGCCCAAATACAAACACAGGCAATTGCTGTCCTAGGCAACAGAGAAAGATGACACAGCCTCATCTGCCATTTGTAAACCTCACACATTGAGCATCTGTCTGAGTGTTTGATTCTTCTTACTCTTCCTGGAACGAGCCTCTTTTCTGGTCACCCACCAGACTCTTGAGGCCCACACCTAGATGGATGGTGCCAGCCATGGCAAATATATCCACAGCTTTCTTGTGGCTGCATCTGGAAAGGGTGGAGGTAGGAGTCCATTGTTTTCTCTTCTGCTCCAGGATCTAGCATCTGCCCTGATTACTTTCTCAAAAGTGTCTCTAGCTTTACATTTCTGTAGCTAAGAGGGTGGGAGTTTCTAGTCCTCAAACC